TGTTACTGGATTTCTCAAAGGCTAAACAGCAGGACATGAAGGAAGTAGCCCATGATTGTGGGGAGCCTTAGCGAGATCAAATGGGACAGACAAGGCAGAGATAACATACATTTGTAGATGAAGCAAGAAAATAAAGTTGAGGAAAATGTTCTTATCAGCTTAGGGCTTCTATGGATATTCAGAATGTTTTTCTCTCTTACATTTCAAGATGCAGTAAAAGAGGAGGCAGTTCTGGTCATATTGCTGTAACAACTAAGCTTTGATGCTTTCTTGCTTTTTACCTGGGTTGTCCATACCCAACTTTCCAAAAGTTTGGGACACAGGCAAAAACAACTGCCTAAATCTGCAGTTTATACAAGCTAGAGTTATCTGTCAATTCAAAGAAATATTGAATTCCTGTTCAAGAAGGCCATGTTATGATCCATGGTCCAAACATCCTCTTGGGTTTCTTTGCTGCTAGCATGATCAGGCAAAAGTCACATCCAGAGAACTTGCTTTTCCCATCTCTGTTCAGCCTGCCTTTGCTGGTGCAACAAAATGAAATTTCCATCTCTGATGCTTCCAATTGCATTGACATTAGAGCATCCCGTTTCTCTGTGAAGACCGCTCATGACAAAATCAACTGAGACTGTTGATTTTCAGGCAAAGAGCATTAAGGCATTTTATACGTACGCCTTCCAGTCTCTCGCTGTAAATCAGAATTTTGGGTTTGATCTTTAGAGTTAGGTTCTTTGCTACTTCAGATGTCAACAGTAAAATAAACCATGTGTGTGTGGCTCCGACAACCTGATGTCCCATTCCTTTGCTGTTACAGAAATATTGCATCACATGCTCGCCAAGGTCAGTGAGTCCTTGGGAAAGCAGCCAGTGAAACGGGGCCCTGGGAGAGGGAGAGACCTTTCCAACTCCATCCACAGAATAAAAAGGTAGCAGCAGAGCTCCTTTGTTACATGTTCACCACTGTAGCTTACAATGGAAACCTGGTTACACTTTTAAAATACGCAGCTTTGTGGGGATTTGCTTCTTTCCTTAAACAATAATTGCACCGTATCATTATTCACTCTTTTACGACATTCTGGATGAGCCTTCTCCATTTCCATAGCAGATTTAGGGCATTATGCACGATAAGTCTGTTTTGTTCTAATTTTATTTACTTAAGATACTGTTTTCCATTAGAAATTTAAAGGAAAGCAAAATACACAGCATTCAACCAGAATTCTGTCACAAAATTGTTATGCTAACTGATATAAATGGTCTGAGTGTGTACACATGTATTGGTTAAATGATCCTGAGCACTGGCAAGTGGGGGAAGATTGGTGTTTGGAAATGGGCTGGGGAAATGAATTCAGCTCAAACACAAATCTGTGTTTCCTGTCTTTATTCTTACTTGGTTTCCATTTCTAATAGAGTAGGATGTGTTTCTTCATACAGCGTTTTCTTCTTCAGCTTCATAACGATGTTCTGCTCTTTTGACTACTGGCAAAGTTGATAAATTAAAACCTGTGAATAAACTTCATATCACAAGGTACATATAAATTTTAATTATTTTTCCACATGCCGAGAATATCTTCAGGGTGACTAGTATAATTTTGTTCCATATAAAATCAAGCTAATGAGAAATAATATCTTTCTCAGGCTTTCCACATGGAGAATGTAAGTCCTTACTAATAAAATGAGAAAAAAAGCTTTTACTTCAGAGTAGGATTACTAAACCGAATAAAAATCACAGCAGTTACATATATATCAGAATCCATTTGCACATTAAGAAACTTACAAATCCTAAATAAAACTGGAGCACGTAGCTACATCTAGATATTTCATATTGTCTTATAAAGAACAAGAAAAGTTGGGATATTGACTCCTCTCACACTCTTCTAGATTATTATGGTGGTTTTAGCTTTTAAATGCAGGTATCTTACACTCAGTTCTCTGGATCTAGAAATTTAACAGCTAAGATTCAGGTTCTTAATGTTTGGCATTTGAGCAAGGATTTTTCAATTTTTAATTTCTATTCTTCTTTACTTCTTTTTCAGTCCTCTTCAGCTAGAGGGAAGGGCTATTTTACTGGAACATCCACATTTACTTTATTATTATGCTGTACAATATCATAATTAAGGTGTGCTAAGTAATAATAGAAAAACATTATCAAAAAACCTGGAATTCTTTTAAATCCACAAAACATGCAGGTATGTTATGACAGACTCTCTTTTACTCATTATTTGGAAGACAATTAATTTGATATATCACGCAAGGGGAATTTGACAGTAAGATTGAATCCTTTCTATGCCAAAACCAGTCCGCATTGTTAAGCTGCACCACTGAGCCATCAAACACAAATGGGGTGGAATACACAGAACTCAGACACAGATACCTGCATGTAGCATACATTTTAAGGATGTAACTCATCTTCAGGTAAACATTTCAAATAGTGCAAATGAATCTTACTTTACAAGAGTTGTCTTCTCTCTATTGACCATAATGGGAGTCTAGGCAACCACAGTGGGATTCAGCCAGAGATTATGACCACCTAAATCTAGACAGTCAAGCTGTTGTACTCTGCAGAGATCCAGACAGTATGCTGTTTCAGCAGACCATCCACCAGGTACAGGATTCAGATGCGCAATGCTGTCAGTCAGGGCTATTTTAACTGCTGTTAGGTACCCTGGGTATCACACTGAGAAGCAAGAAGGGTGCAAATCTCTCTGAAGTGTCTCATATTTGCCAGCCCCATTAGTTGGCTTAGATCAACAGTGAGTATTTCAAATGGCAGTATCAAAAATATTTTTAGGAAACTGAATCCTCTCCTATTCGAACACCACTGCCCTGCAATGATCTATTTACATGAACAAGGACAGCACAGCAAAATCAGATGCTTCAGTGGCTGTCACATCCTTTTTACAGTGAGAAAGAAGTGTGTGTGCTAGACCATTCTGAGGAATTCTTTGACACTCCGGAAAAGGTCTGGAGCCACTTCCATAAGAAACACCACAGCTAAGAAATTTGGCTTTCCAAGCAGGGGTTTCAGAGTGACTGACCAGACATACCTGAGATCCACAAGAAGGAAGTCCGTGCAGACATGAGATGACATGAAGATGGCACACACCACACTTCTCCACGATAAAAGGCCCTTTGCCTCACTCTCCTTGCCTAATTCCTCCTTGCTAGGTAGCAAAGCAGGAGCTATTGCGTCCTAAAGAACACTTGATGAGAAAGTCATACCATTGCTATAAATCTTTATGATATTGGGGTACAGGATGAAAAAAATTCCCTGGGTTGATCAGGCAAGCGTTAATATAGGGTAAAACAAGTATTATTTGAACAAGTAAAGCAAATATTAAAAAATTGGTTATAAATATGCATTGCAGAATTGAAGTTCAAAAAAAAACCCCAAACCCTAACTGAACTGTTGCCAACAGCAAAAATAACTCTGCCCAACTAAGAAACCTGCAAATATTAAAAGTAGGATGTGTTCATTTTCAGCTTCTGTTAAACAGACTGGATGAAGAGCCTATTTGCTCAAGCATAATAATTTCCATGTCTTTTTAAATGAGTTCACTATTTCATGTGGATCAAAACTAATACTTTCCTTTTTAAATGGGTTTGTAGAAGCATGCCTCCTACTTCAGTAAATGTGACAAGTGAAGTATATATTTAGAAAATGCTTTTCTTTCTTTTTACAGAAACTTAGTAGCGTCTAGCTTGAGTATTAACCAAATAAATTTTCTGCTCCTGCGACTGTCTTTGGCTCTGCCAACTGTCGTTATATACCAGTGAGAAAACTGTCTCTCTCTTAATTAAGTTTTCCACCAATTTTTTTGATCTTCTACTTTCACTGTCTATTACACTGATCTTCATTATACTGAGGCAGTGAAGACATTGACATCTCCTTATTCTAATGTGCTGAAGGTTATCACATCTGCTGGACACTATTTACTGCAACCTCTTTGTCTCCAGTGAGATAGTTTAGGTGTAGACTCACATACAAAAACTGCCATAAATTGGCTGATATTCTCTTTCTTACACCAAGTGGTTCAGTGCTTAAATGTGTTTATATTCTTTAATGTGTGCATATCATTTTATCATCTGAATAGACTCTGTACACTTCTGATTGCATAAGTCTGGCCAAATAAAAGGTTTGCAAGCACTAAGCTACTCCTAGATAAAACCTCAGTTTCACAGATATCATCTCTTTTGGTCAGCTTCCTGACCACAAAATGCAAAATATCCATTCTTGGTCAGAAGGGGATCCTATGTACAGAATTGGTATGAATGGAGTCACATGAATTGGTTAACACTGACCCAATATAAAGATGTGCTGTCAATCAAAAAATGGAAATGAAGGTCACTTCCTATTTTTTCATAGATTCTGACAATTTATGGAAAAAAAGTGAGTTCTCTAACTTTCCAAGTTTTTAAATACAATTTCAATTCATATTAATTTTTTTCTCTAAAACTTTTGAAATAGTTTCAAAGAAATTTCTACACTTGATTCAAAGGTTATGTTCCAAATTTTATTAAGTCATAAATACCTTGAGTGAAATTTTGGGTCCATTGAAGTAAATTGCAAAAATCCCTTTGACTTTGAAAAGTTCAGGAATCTGAGCTCTATTCTCTTCCAACATTTTCTTAAAAATCTGTATTCTTTTACCACAGGCTTGGAATTTCTCTACATAAATATCAATCGATACATTTCTCTCTTTCATTATATATATGTGTACACAGGCAGTGAGGGAGAAGCAGAAATATGTATGTTAATGTACAGTGTCTAAGATGAAGGGTGTTTTTTTTAATAAAAAACTTTTGAGACAAAGATGGAGCTGAGGGAACTGGCCAGTGTCACTGCAAGGCTACACTATAATATCTTTGAAAGGTTGTGGCAGTCATGGGATGTTCCTGATGACTGGTAAAACACAAACATCAGACCGATCTTCAGGAAGGGTAAGCATGAGGCTCTGAGGAACCTCAGATCAGTCATTCTCATATCAGTCCCTGGGAAGGCTATGGAGCAAATCCTCCTGGATTCTTTGTCTAGGGCACATGATGGACTGGAAGTGACTGGGAGCAATCAGCATGGATTTACAAAGGACAAACCCTGCTTGAGCAACCTGATAGCTTTCTGTGATGAGATGATTGCTATGCAGCCGATGGGAAAGCAGTGAGTGTCATTTACTCTGCCTTTACTAAAATTTCCAGGATGGTCTCCCGTAGCATCCTTTAAGTAAAACAGTGATACAGTTTCAATAGATGGACTATAATATGGACAGAAAATTAGCTGGACTGCTGCACTTCAAGGGCTGTGATCGATGGTATGAAGTCCAGCTGGTAGTGGTGCTCCTTGGGGATCACTACTGGGGAAGGTTTCATTACTATTATTCTGGATAATGAGATAGAATGTACCATGAGGAAGCCTGTGGAAAACAGCAAAATCAGCATGCTCAAGGGCAGGGCTGCTGTTCAGGGGGACATCAAGACATCTTCTTCTTCCAGATCTTAATTTCATTTTACTTTCATGAATGGCATGACTGTTAACTGAGAATGTTTTTATTAAAGATTTATATAATCTGTTATGGTTTGTAGTATTTTAACTTTAAGAGTACCATATGAAGAGAAGGTCCCAGAAATAATGTATTTTTGGACCTACAAAAATCAGAACAACTCAGAAGAGCAATTCATACATGGGGTAGGTCACAACCTGAAGTTACCTGTCTCTCCCCATATTCTAACGAGAGAACCATGTAAAATTGAGTTGAGTTCAACTGGGTGCCTAAAGTTATATGAGAGGAAAAGTGGAACAGGGGCTCTGGTTTATGAAGCTTCAGAGCAGCTTAGCGGCATGAACATGGGATGCGAATCATCTCACCAAACCCTGTTGTTTGTATAAAGTAGATGTCAATATGAGAACTAGTCAGCCTAGCCTCTCTTGTCAACCTGGGAAGAAATAGGCACTTCGAGTGAACAGCTCATCTTTTCAGATATCTACTTCAGAACGATGCAAATTGTGCACTAGAAGTACCCTCTTTGCTTTGAATATAAAAGGAGCCCAATGGAACTAGCTTAGGTACAGATATTTACAAAGTTGGCACAAACATTTGCCCAGCTGAACCCTACCCCTTCTGTTGGTACTGTGGGTCTGTAGTTAAAATTTATTGCCACCAGGAGACTTTGATGCTGTGAAAAGCCAGAGATGAAGACTCAATAATCGGAAGACTATTTAGCAGGTATTCTTTATTCCGGCGCCGGGCGCCGGATCTCTCCTCCAAACATGTGTGCCAAACACCCTGTCATTTCATGTTAAATACAATATACATATTCATTATATTTCTGAGAAATGCTTAGCATATGCATGGCTTTTCTGATAACTAATTAGCATATGTTAATGCCTTTCACACATATTGGTTAGGGTCCTCAAGTGGTCTTCGGGGGTCTTGTACTATTCATCACAGTGTCCGCTGGTTGACCTTTGTTTCTGCGTAAACTCAGTTCTAAGATCACGTATACCGTGTCCTTCCAGGTTGTTTTGCTCTGGTCTTGTTGCCCTCTTGGTGCCTCTTGATCTCTGTGGCTTGGCACACCTGCCCTCCCAAGGCCGAGCTGTCTAAATAACATTATTTAGGAGTCTCTCTATCTTAGAGCTTTTCTGTCCCCCCCAAAACAGCAAATCAAGCTTGTCTAAGTAGCATTATTTTGGAGCCTCTTTATCTTAGAGCTTTCCTGTCTTCTCAAAACAGCAAGCATCTACTTTAGTTTAATTACAATCACTCTAGTAAATAGAAATTTTACATTTACGGGTATCAACTTCATGGTATTAATACATTTTCATAAGTCTTGCTAAACAGTAGTATTTAGGAGCATTTAGCATAAAGATATCCTCAAGAGATAATACACTGTATTAAAAAAAAACTGCAACGGAAAGCAAACAAAAAGTTACTGAACAGAATTACACACTACTCAGAAGATCACCCGGCACAACACAGCTCAAGTCTTCATCTGCTATTTAAGGGTCATTTTCTATTCTCTGCTTGTTTCTTGATTATTTCTAACAGTATTACACTTTAAAGCTTAAAAATCCTTTGTGCCAATATAATTTTGCACTTACTAGCATTAATTTTGCTTTACGGGTAATGGTCCAGAAACAAGAAGTTTCTCACCACGTGTAACAGAAAAGCATCTTAAATGTTCAGACAAACCTTCACCATTGTGCCACAGCAATTACCGAAGGAGGAGGCATATTTCCCAGGTCAGAACATTCCAGCTAAACCTCGGATCCATTAAGAAGCCCACAGGAAGGCGACATGCAGTGAGATTCTTGGCTTTGTACCCAAAGAAATTAGAAGGCAAAGCCTGACAAACAGAGTTAAGATTTGAAGGCTGGTGTCCTGAACCACAGCAGGTTAGAAAGGCTTGTTCTAGATGAAGAAAATTAAAGGTCATGTGTATCTTTTTGCCAAAGCTTTAGCATTTTAAAAGTCCAGACTTTGCAAACACAACGTAAGTTTTTACTTCTCTTTCATTTCCACAGCGATGAACCACCTTCTGCCATCTCAGTAAATCTCTCTTCTAATCCCTTCAGACACTAAACTAGTGATCTGTGTAACCTCACCTCTGTGGCAGTGAACACTGTCCTCTTGCAGTAATACTTGCAGATTATATAAACTCTTTTCTGGGCTTGCCATCAAAGAACAAAAAGGAGAGGAGGAAAAAATACATGAGGTATCTTCATAACAAATGACTGCATAAAGAAAATATATACAAGACGACCTTGTTTAGAGAACTGTGAGGGATATCACAGTTGACATCTTGTACTAAGCCTGTCAGAATCACGTCTTCCTGGGCCTGAAATTAATTTCTTTAGTCTCCTTCTCTTTGCCACTTTTTACATTCAAAAACAGAAACATAATTTGGCTTAATTGCTTGCTTCTACTTCAGCAAGAATCTGTGCAGGTTTTTTTAGTTAAATGTTAACTGTGAAGCCACTAGAATAACCTCATTTATTTAAAGTTTTAAAAAAAGTATCCCTCATTAAAAAAATCTAATAAGCTAGGCGCTTTATGAATAATTAAATTGCGGTAGGAGCTGAATCAAGACGCTTACTGGGTTTTTTATCATGGCTGCACATAAAGGATGAAATTTTGGTCTCTCGCTGAATTTTCATGGTCTTAGTTACCATTTAATTTTGCACATAAAGCACAACCTGCTTAAGATGTGAAACAGAGCATAAGAAAACTATCCTGATTAGTATTGCAAAAAGCACCTCTGTTGGATTTGTATGTAAGCTCTACAGAAGAAAAGGATACTACAATAAAAACCTTCTTAGTCTGAATTTATTCCTCTGTACACTCTTGTGTTTCACTATGGGAGTCTGCAATACATTCGTATATGTTGTCCAATTCTCTGAATCATCTTGTAAACAAGGTGATTTTATCAACGGTAGCAAGCTATGTAGTACATAATGATAGCAAAAATAAATGATAGAACTGCACAGCCTGATGATGGATGCAAGGAAATCAATACACAGGAAAGCTTACTGGATAAAAGAATCTGCATAATTAGATGAATATACATATTGGGCCATCTCAGAGCAGCATGCTCAGATCACAGAATTTGCTGCTTGCAGCAAGCAAGTAATAAAGATACATGCTTTTTCTGAGACTGGTGACTAGCTGCCAGAATACAATCTTTTCACAATTCACCAAAACATAGTTAACAAAATATTCTATAAAACACTAAGATAACTGTGTTTTCTGCCTATACAAGCAAAAAGGATTTTGATACAGTTAACAATTATGGGAAAAGGTTAAATCTGCAGATCGGGACATGCTTTCTTTATATCTGTATCTTCCTGAAAAATATCTTCCTTTCCTCACCAGAGGGATGGGAGCCCTACAGATTTGAAGAACTACAGTTCATTAGATGTTCTTAAACCAAAAGATGGAATTTTGTTTCTTAGTGCTCAATTAAAATATAATTATGATGGATATGAATCTTATGGAAACTAAAAATTTTTCCTGCATATAAAAACGTCACATAAGCATTGCTATCGCTAACAAAAATGTTATCATTCTCATCATGACAAAAGATATATAAATCAAACTATTTTAAGAAGAATGGGATGCCTGGAAAACTACTGACCTGGAAATTATTCAAAGTTAAAGTGATTCGAAATAAATTCTCGAAAAGAGGACACAGTATATATATATACACAATGGTGTTATCCACCTGTTACATAAATCAAATTCCATGACAAAAGAATGTCAGATAGAAGAAGAAAGAATACCCACTTTTGTTTTATCCAGACACTTTTTCCTGATAAATGCTTATTATCCTTTTGTTTTAAAGATTTCTTAATAACTACTTTTTCAAAGCAATTAAAAACACAAAACCTTCAAATGTGGAAGGAGAAACACAATCTACACCTGACACATACATCCAGTGCTGGTGTTTCAGAAGACTAATCCTTGGTTTGGTGTACTGTTATCTGTACTATCTGACACACACCTAAAATGAAACTTCTGAAGTCTAAAGACCTAGCATTATGATTGCTATATGACTAATATGACATTTGTATGCAATCTTCTCATTTTGACACATTATTTTTGTAAAATGCTTTGACACGAGAACTGTAATAGGTTTTTAATTATTATTTTGTTAAAAGATTATGACTTGTTAACTTGTCTGATTATGAATTTTGAATTGCATTCCTAAAGTGTTATAATCTTCCTCTGACTTAACAATGTTTTTTTAAAAATCCTATGTATGCCTATATTTTACAGAGAAATCCAGTGACACAGTATGTAATAGAAAACTGCTTTTCTCTCACATGGGCTGCAGGCTCATGAAGGTGGAAACTCCCTGTTAAAATGAGGTTGAAGTTTTCTTAATGGTAGGTACCAACAGGCTAGTTTAAACAGTCTAGATTTATGTTGTGTGTTACACCCCTATTTCTGTTTTTTAAAAAAAAAGGCAAAAACGTAGAATTTGTAATTGTTGGGGAGTAAGAAGTCAGGGCAACCCAACTACAGCTGATGTGCTCAGACAGAGCAGTCAATCTAGACTAATGCTGTAGCTCGGAGCCTTGCAGTGCAGAAACTCTGGCAAAGACAAGTGCAGAGACTCAGATTTTCAGATTCTGCAACAAAAACAACCTAGAGATCATGC